ACACGTATATTGTAAGGTTGTGATATACGAGCAATAGTTTCAGAGGTGACTCTGATGTACGGTATAGTCGCTGTCGTAACAGGGCCAGAGTTGGTCTGAGTGTTGGAATCAGTGTTACTGTGAGTATTCCGTCTTACAAAGTCCGTATTGTAATTGTTCTTACTAAAACCGTTGTTAAGATAACCAGTCTCGTCTTGTGGGCTGTCAGGTGAGTCGCAAACTAGTTGCGCTCGTCTCGTCAGAGTCCGGATAGTAGTAGTCTTAATGTGAGAGGTCGGGTTGTACGAAGACTGGTCTAGTAATCGGTCTGTATGTGTCGGTTTTCTGTAAATAGTCGTTTTTAGTTTGTTGTTTTCGTGAGCGACCAAGCAGTCTAGAAAAGGTATCTTACCATTTTCTTCGATTTACAGAAAACCGACACATACCGACCGATTACTAGACCAGCCTAGACCCCAAAAAGATATCTTGCTGTCGTGAAGATGCACGACTTAACTTCTTTAACTTAAAACATTAATTTTATTGCAGAACATACGCTATCAACAGTAAAAATTTCGGTTAAAGGAAATTAATTTTTTCTCGAACATCATATTTATTGCCATACGAATCGAATGCGAATGAAATGTTTGGTGCAGGGAGGATAAAGGTTGGGTCGCGGGGAAAAAAGCGCGCTCCGCTCTTCATTCAATGTGTGATGCGGAGTAGGACTGGCACGAGCGCTTTTCTGCGTTTCCGGTGCGCTTGAAGGCCGGCGAAATTTTCTTCTTTGCAAATCAGAAAACCTTTTTTTTTTGTAATTTCAGGATGCAGTGTTAAATAGATAAATTCGTTTCATAACGATATTAATAAACAGTTTCAAATGTTTATGTGTTTATGCCTATTCTATTTTGTCCATGTTTTGTCCTGGGCCACCTGTGTTTGCACCAGCTGCACGCATCCATAAAATACACGTCATCTAGTTATGAAACATGTTCACCATGTGCTGTCTTTTAGTTTTGTTATGGATGACATGGATGAGATTTTCCTTCGTGTTTTGTTGTTTTTGTTTCGGAATAACATCGACATTGGCGAGTAATAGAACAAAAAATTTGACTCAATGGTAGAGTTATGGAAGTAACCAGACAAACCATTTGAAAGAGATGTTTGTCTACTCCAACTAAACCTCTCGCAAAAAATTAGCAACATTTGCCTCTCGAAGACAGCCTACCCGCACAAAGGAACGAGGAAGAAGTGCAAGAAAACAACTCAAGCCGCCATGATTCAGTGACCGTGGCAGTGTCTAATTAATGGACAAACCACATCGCATGCCCTGACCACTTTCTGGGGGTGAGCGTTTTAGAGTTTTTCAATTGCCTGTGACGCTTATAAGCGATCACGTGACGTATGCTTTGAAGTTAACGTTCACCATAAAAGTTCTTCGCGTACTATATTCAGTGACATGAACCTACACATACCGTTTAGAACTAGTTAGGTGCAATGAATTCTCTTCCACATTGTAGATGCGTTCGGACCTTTCCTCGCCTGAAGAGACCTAAAACGACCCCCCTGCCCCCTTCCCCCAAAGCTAACATTTAATCTTCGCACGTTGGGTGGTCGCTCACAGGAAGTTCGACTGTATCGGAACTACCTGTGATTTTGTAATTGTTTATCTGTGAATGAGTTGACTACTTAACTTTTTCCTTCTTAATGGTTATTTAACAATTATTCCTTGAGCCCCAATGGGCTTTGACTCACTAGCCCATGAGGCCGAAGGCCGAATGAGCTATTGACTCAGAGGCCATGAGGGCGAGAGGATTAATTGTTTTTAGTAGAATCGCATGATTGAGTAAAATCTCGCATTCTGATTGGTTAACGAAGCGAGGAATTTAGTGTGGAATTTCGAGTTGAAAACGAGGCTAAGCGATATTGTTTTGCATCTACGTAACAACTATCGTCAAATTCTAACACAACAACTGCAGAAAAGGTTTTCTACAATGTCATTTTAAAATGTTTTCAAAACCATCGTCACCTTTTGAAGAGTTAAAAACAAACAAAAGCGTTTTTTATAGTGAGCCCGAGGTTCTTCCTTGTTTTGAACTGAACTGCAAATTCTCGAAGAGGCATAAAAAACCTCTTTCGCTCGCGACAACGAGAGAACAAGAAAATCTTGTGAACACGGCCCAGAAAATGGCAAGCCAAAGTTCAACCAAACAAAACGGAGAAGCGACAACGGAGGAAGTGCCGGGATCGATTGTCACATATACAGAAGAAGAAACAAATACCTTCAAAAACGACATGGCCCCTGAAAACACGAAAAAGAGTACGCCGCTTGCAATCGTCCTGAATCGTGATACCGAGAAAAGTACAAAACAGAGCTGAACTTGAACAGCATTTCTAAAACATTTCAAGGTACTTACCATATATCAATTGCGACGTTAAACTTTCAGTGCTTTTGCTTGGACACTTCATTTCTTTCAGTTTTGCCGTCGAAGAGGTAAAAGGTGTAAATTATTTTCCTTCTCGAACAAATAACCAATTTGAAAAAAGATGTTATAGATAAACGGCTTGTAAATTCAGTGAAATACCTCTATTTATCCTTACGATTAGTGTGAAGCTTGTTTACATGATTGATTGATTGGTCTAGGGATCATTACGTCTCCGGCAGACAATAATAAGCCTTATCAAGAAAAAGTTGTTTGTCAGTTTTGGACAAAGCTGTTCTTGTCCATGCCTTTGGAGGAAAATGATACTTTCGTCTTTTTGCTTACTTGGATTATAAGACAAACAAGTATACTAGTTAAAGGATCAATCAATTATCGTATCGCAAAATATTATGAGTTTTAATTCCCTGGGCAGATTATTTGAAGATGCCGAAGACAGAGGCAGATATTTGAGCTACTCACTACCACTAACATATCGTGATATTTTGCTCAATGTCATCCATTATTATTTTCGCCTTCGCTAAAAGAACACATTGATCAGCAACGGAGCTTTTGCTGACATGCCTAACTTTGGAAATTGGTATAAGATAGATCATTGATTAATGTGATAAATCGATGGATTTTCTTTCAAAGGAAAATACATTTGTCTACTAAAAAACTAACTTTAACTTGATTCGCGGCACAAACAATTGAGGACAAAACCGTCTCTTTCTCTCTTAAATCAGTCTGGTTTGTAACTGCTGAAGTTTCACCTCTTCATACTACGTTTTTCATGGGAAAATAGACTGTTTTAGTGAACACGATAGGGGACAGGTTAGGGTGGAAATTGCTTAACCCCAATAGGAGAGGAAAAGGAAGGCCATATTGAAAAATGTATGGCATCAAATTGGATTCATTATTATATCAATCATCATAGTAGTGAAGAGCACCTATTCACTTATTTTTTTTAGCTTTATTGAGAAAGCAGTCCAACGCGGTAACTATCTGACCATTATACGGGCCTTCAGAGTTTTGAGGCCACTTCGCGCAATCAACAAAGTTCCAAGTAAGTATATGCATAAATTCTTAATTGTGATCGACCAGTGGTTTAACCTCTTCTCAGGGCCTCTTAAGGTTTATCTGTTGCCTCGTGAGAACTCTTCTTGAATTTGAATTAAATGGTCAAAGCAGCCTAGGTCATGCATGTATAAGGGCATCTCGTCTTCAGTACATACCACCTCCTATATTGGCAATTTTAAGGTCTTTTCACGAGACAGGGCCAGACTGGGTGTTCTTTGTTAGCTTTGCGTCGAACACCTTTGTGGATATGGTTTTCCTGACATATTTTGACCCAGCCTTTCCCTTGTAACCTCGTAATCAATTATTGTAATAGCCATTTTAACTGATAGAACTGAGTGACAGTGGTGTCCCCAAAGCAGTCCCATAGTGCAATGGGACACAATCATGACCTAGCCTCCTCATGCACAATCCGCAATTGGTCGATACGGAGTTACTGCTACATTCCACGGGCTCAAGAAAACATTATGAGTGGTCACATGACCGAGGTCTGACAAGTACCTACTGTCTTGTGTTTTATTAATTCTTTAATTCCTTTTGTATGTAATTCTGAATTGCAGGCATTCGTATTTTAGTGACGCTTCTCTTGGACACACTTCCAATGCTGGGCAACGTACTGATGTTATCTTTTCTGATATTCTTCGTCTTCGGTATCATTGGCGTACAGTTGTGGCAGGGAAAACTGAGAAACCGTTGCTTTACAAACTTGAATGAGAGTTCAACGTTCTTCACCAGGTATTCAAAGTAGCATCATTTCCTGTTCAAAACGAACCAGGGACCCGTTTCTCGACAGCCGTCGTGACTTTCGAGGCCCAAAACCAAACTTTCAAGTCAAAATGCAAAAATTAAAAGCCCGGGTCCTAACTAATAAACCAGCCTATTTTTTTGTTGTTAACTGATAGTTCTATCATGTTATCAGGAAAACTATTTGAACTTCACTTTTAATTGTGAACAACAGATTTCCGGGCCACGTTAATTAACTATTGTCGGGACTTTCGCCCCAGGCTAGGAACCAAGAAAATTGAAATCACCAAAAAAAAAAAAAAGGAAAATTGAAATTAAATGGGACTGTTTGTTGATTACTCTAGGGGCGAAGCAGTGTATTTGTGGGGATTGAGTCACGAGCTATCGACCCCCGAAAATTGGTTAACATAACGTTTGCTAAACTATTTGAGCCACTTTTCAATTCTTACCCTCAACGTACTTTTAAACATTAACCGTACCATTAAAAGAGGCTTTCATACTTGACTGATAGCCTATTTACTAACGATACTAAGTGGCTTGTAATTTAGTTATGAATGACCCCTAAAGTTGCTGTTTTAATTTATGCTTTCAGATATAACCAGTCAAAAAATTATGAGCCGTCCTTCACCAGTCCAGATTTCGTCTGCTCTTTACCAGACGACCATGGCACCAGCAAGTGCTCCGATATTGATCCGTATTATCAGAACAATAAGGAATGTAACGCTTCTTTTGATAATAACTATGCTGGAAGTAACTCACTGTGCGTGAATTGGAACAAGTACTATGGTACCTGCCAACCTGATGGACCTAATCAGTTCTATGACACTACATCGTTTGATCAATGATAATATTGGTATTGCATGGATTGCCATATTTCAGGTAAATAACGTTCTCTACTATTGCCAAGGCTCATTATTTGCACTATCTAATAAACAATGAGTCGTGTTGTGGGATGATTACAAGTCGTTTCGAAACACTCCCCGTTTTTGATTCAAGTTAATCCGATACAATTTGTTCTGTAGAGTTGAAAATAGCTCCACGTACTTGGCTTAATGAACGAAGAATGGTTCACCCGATCCAAAATTTTTCCAATTTCACCGCTTGAGTTCATATCGAAACGAGTTGTATCGAAAAGACCTTGTATTGAAACGAACGGTTTCCTGTGGGATAAAATGGAGCCCACGACTTCAGCTGATCTCAGTCTTGTTAACACGAAACACCTTGAAAAGGATTTAACCAATCACATTGTTAAAGCCAGCGGCATCAGGTCACGGGGTACCCATTTATACCCCTGTTAAAGAGAGCCAAAGGACAGCAAATCTCTAGCTTTAGAAGACAACAAGATTGAACAGTCAAGGTTCCAGCTCGACACTAGCTTGTTCCAGGCTACAAGGTAGGAGAATCGAGAAAAGTTGCGCGAAAACCGCGTGGGGGCTGGGGAGAGACAGAATAGAAGAGCTTCTCAGCATTGTTTTCAGAGAGCTTTAGCATCGACGACGGAGACGGTACAAAAAATTAACGTCACTTTCAAAATAAATTCGCATTTTTTCAAACTTTGTCGCGTTTATTCCACTTTGCTGAAAATGTTAAGATGTAGGCGAATTTCACAGGAGTGGATTTCATGGGGATCCCACTAAAAATTAGAGAGAGAAAGAAAAATTCGTCGGGGCTTGCCGGTTTACATCCGCAATAAAACGTGAAATTAGGCATTTTCACGTCTGGTCTAGTCGTGCAGCCAGTGGCGAAGAAATGTACAAAACAGCGTGATGCACGTGTAAAGAAAGTTATTATTATTAATCTATTGTTTGTCTGACGTTCTCGTTCCCGTCGCCGTCGTCGTTGCTAAAACTCCCTAATGCCTCATGCCCATGTGGTATACCCAGCTCCTGGTATACACCCTGCGATTGGTCAATTGTGACAATTTACTTCAATATTTACGTCATTCATTTGTTTTCGCGTGCGCAGAGTCTAAAAAACATGTCAAGCATGGGAAACACCGCGCCTTTTGACGTTTGACATTTTACATTTTGACACGATAAACGGCTTTTCAGTGTTCAGTAAGTGGACGGGGTAGTGGTGGGATTGAAAAGATGCTCACAGGCTCTTCCCTTCTCTCTTCTCGTCGTTTTTCGCTCGTTCGCTATTTTACTGCTCGCGATCTTCTTTCGCTCGTCCTCACTGATACGCTAAACTACTACTCATTTATAAAACCAGGAGCTCTATCCCCCGATTATGGCTCCTGATAAAACTTCAATTCATCCATACGCATATTGACATTACTTGAACTCAAATAATGGAATAAGTTTGATTGTTTGTGAAGATGAACTAAATAGGGCCATTTTTCTTAGAACAGTATGTGCAGGCACCAACCGAAGAAGAAAGTAATAATAAATACAAAAACTTGCATTTTAAACAGGTTATTACCCTCGAAGGTTGGTCAGATATCATGTATTTTGTTCAAGATTCTCACAGCTTCTGGAACTGGATTTACTTTGTTGTGCTGATAGTGGTGAGTTTAGTTTTATAAGCACTTAGCTGGTACCTAAGATCTTATCAATATCATTTCAAAAGATTCTGTGTTAAAGCTTTTTGACTTAGCAAGAACCTTGTTGTGTTATCACAAGAATTGTGATAACCCGAACATAGAAGAGATGATCATTTTTTTCAACCTTGAGACGGGAGAGGAGAGAGAGAACGAAAAAAGTCTATATGATATTATCAATGTTAATGTATTCCACCGCAATTTGAAGAGATTTCACTGCACAAAAGGGGGCTGAAATATACCTACTTTACTTCTGTGGTGGGATTTAAGTGGATATATGAGCTATGTCTTTCAGTGTATGGTCAGGTATTTATGTTATCCCTTCTGGGTTTGTTATTTGATAGATGGGTTCATTCTTCCTTGTGAACTTGTGCTTAGTGGTAATCACAATGCAATTCCAAGAAACAAAGGCACGTGAGATAGAGCTAATGGAGCACAGTAAAAAAGAGACTGGGCTCCACCACCCATCGTCACTGATGTCGTTTGTCAAGTTTCTTCAAAACTTATGCAAATGTGCCTCTCAAGATAAAGAACCTCAAGTTCATCACCACCATCACCACTTTTATCATCATCACCACTTTCATCACCACTTGTACAACTGTTTTGTGTCGGCTTCTCCGGTGATGCTTTCTAACGTGCGAAATGTTTCTGATCTGGCTCGTTCATCAGAAATACCAGAAATAAAAGTCCAAGAAGAAGGAGAACAAGAGGTATCATTTCCTCCATTTTCCGAGGAGTATGATGTGTATCAAAAATGTCTAGCTTCGACTCATGAACAAGCTTCTCGAAGAAGTTCAAGAACTTCCACATGCTCACATACGTTATCAATACATGCCGAAACAGCATCAGTCGTTTCTTTCGAAGACATCATGGCGGAAACGAAGACAACTGTAACTTTAAACATTCCCCCACCGACCGCCACCGTGGGCTTCTTTGCATTTGCGTCGAGTAACAGTAGCCCTAGAATGAGGAAAAATCCTAACATCGATAAAGCCGAACATTCTACATCCACGACCGTTTCAGCGGAAATAAACCCACAATATTCCAGCGTTAACTTTGGAAAACAAGATGAACCCAAAATGGAACTAAAGGTCGAAAAGAAGTCATCGCTTCGTCGTAACGATAAAGATGCGTTAAAAAAGCGGCGCTTTAGCCAGCCAGTTCACGTGAAGTTGGATTGCACTCCAACTCCTGTTATCTCAACGTACAGGCCCTCAGAAATAGTTAACGAGGACATAGACCCTGATGATTTTATTGAGGTTGGAGCAAATCCTGTCAAACTAGGAGTAGAGGGTTTTTCAACTTCTCCTAAACATAATTTAAAGAGCAGTGACCTTTCTTTTCAAGAAATCTCTTCAAATAAGGGGCTGGAAGATGATATCAACCCAGTTACTGCCCCCCTAAAGAAACCATCACTATCTCACCGTAGTATCTCTACACAGAGTGAAGACGATAAGCTACGATATGTTTGAAAGTCTTTTTAACTTACGCCAAAGCGTCTCGTATGATGTTACAATGAATCATGGCATTTGGCAGAAGTTCAGAGGTCTTTGCCGAAAAATTACTGTTAGCAAGCAGTTCACGTTCTTCATCATGAGTGTTATTCTACTGAACATGATCTGCATGGGCCTTGAACATTATAATCAGGTATGCATTAAGTATTTTTCAAGATTATAGTGGTTTACAAGAAATGGAGACCATAATAGGCAGATTTATTAGCAAGGAAAACATTAGTCTGATAAAACAGTGGACATTTCGCGACGCCCCGACTTGTTTCCCAGCGAGATGAGTTGTCACTACCCAGATCTGGGTAGTGCTACTGATTGGTCGTTCCGCGAGAGAAATTTGCTTCAACCAATTAACCAATAATGTGTTTAGTTGTCTCAGTTTTCTGTGGTTTCTGAAACGATTGAGATGGATTCTAGTAAATTAAAGTTGCATTGCTTTCCTAAGATATATCCACTAAAGAGGAAGCAACTTAATTGATAGCCCCTCCTAGTCACATAGAAACAAGTCAACAGGCAGAGAAGCTCAGGTAGAAAGTAGCTTTTGGTATTTTTGAATCCAAATAGCAGTAGTAGTTCTTTTCCACGTACGACCAAAATTATAAAATAGAGCACTCTAATTCATGCATGCCAGTGCAGTGGATGCTAAGATTTTTTAGATCTAGGATAAAGGGTCTCACTTGTGATCACAGACCCCTCCCTTATAATTTTGCTGTTACCATACTGTTGCCATGACGCCCAAATTACAACAACCACAAAACGCTGAAAAGAAGTCACATGGCTGTATTAATTTCCATAGAATCTGGGGTACTTGTGCTTTATCTCTGATGTTTTCTATCGCAGCCAGATAGTCTAACAGTAGCCCTGGAGACCACAAACATAATTTTCGTTTTATTTCAATTAATGCAAAGCCTCACTGACTCAAGTACTGGTAACTTTAAAAATAATGACAAAACTTGTAATTATCCTACTATCTATTACTATACATTGAACTCACTAGCTGTCTTCTCATTGGCTAAGAGCCTACAGCTAATTTTGGAAACTAGCCCAACCTACAGATTCGTTAGTTATCTGCTAGCAGATAATCGACTAAGCTGTGGGTTTCGCGTTTTTCGTTTTTTATCAATTCAGGTTGCTTGCGACTGTGTGTGTGGCGTTATTTTCTTCAAAACAATGTATAATAAAACTATTTTTAGATTCGGTTTTTGTGATATTCTAAATAATCAAGGTCTCAGTAAGTGTTATCAGCCTCGGCCTTCAGCTCGGCTGATAACACTTACCTCGACTTTGATTATTTAGGATATCACAAAAACCTCATCCACTAAATGATTGTTTATTATTGGTTTTCTCTGCTAAGTAATTGTTATCAAGATATTGGCACTTGACCAATTATTGATCATTGATTGGTTGAAGCTAGCGTATTGATTTTCAGGTACTCATACCTCAAAATGCCACTTTTTAAATGTATTATAAAAATATCTATACCACTATTTCAAATTTAATATAATTACGAGGTAAAAACCCACTTGACAGGAGGTGAGACGGTTCAGTGTTGGTCCATGAGACCTTCCGCTTATTTTCTTTCAAGGCTATTAGCAGTAAATAATTTTGATTAGTTGGCTATTGATAAGCATGGCCGAGGAGTTGATCTCTTGATGACCGGGAACAACCCCTTAAAAGAGAAGGTTTGAACCCAGATGACTCGGGTTAAATTCAAGGCCCTAAGCCGGCACCCTGTCATAATTTAATAAAGCCACCATCTCCTTTTAAATTTCAGTGTCTGCGAGATACTTCTTTCCAAAGGGAATTTCGCCCTATCAGTGTTTCGTAGCATCAGACTTCTCCGCATCTTCAAACTTGTCAGACCAGTTCGATACCAGTTACTCGTGGTAATTAAAACCATGACAAGTGTGATGACCTTTTTTGGCCTCCTGTTCCTATTCGCCTTTGCAATCCTTGGTATGAATTTATTTGGTGGAAAATTTGAATTCAAGAACGCTGAAGGAGAACTTGTCACCTCCAGGAGTAATTTTGATGACTTCCTTTGGGCAATGGTATCTGTGTTTCAGGTATGTTTCGGTTATCGTGTCAATCATTATTTTTATATCCATCAGGCCCCGGTTGTTCAAAAGATGGATAGCGTTATCCACCGGATAAATCATTATCCAGTGGACAAGTATTAGGAAAACCAATTGTACTATCCACTGGATAGTGATTTATCCGATGGATAGCGTTATATACGTTTTGAACAACTTGGGCCTGCGGTCAGTCCCCATCGAGCGTTAGGTTATTTTAATAAATGTTCGCTTGACTGATTGTGTAAATTTTACAACTTCTCCGTTGCTATCCTCTGCTGATTAGTAGATACCACCAAACGCAAAAGTTTCATTTTATGTCGAAACTCCAATTCCTCTTAAGTTGACCGAAGTTTAGATAGCAAAAACGATTCATATATATTTAATTTTTTGAAAAATTTGGTGATCAATCTAACCTTGGATCAAAATCAGAAATTATGCTACCTTTCCAACTGCCTAATCACCTTACGTGATAGGGGATGTGTATGTTGTTTTGGTCAAACCTTGTACACTCAGTCACTCACTCACTATGGCGTCTTTATTAAAAACATTACAGTTTTCTCTGTGTCTTCATACTAAAACCGTGAATTTTGCGTCACATAGATCCTTACCCAGGAGAACTGGAATCGAGTAATGTATAATGGCATGCGCAGTACAAACAAGTGGGCAGCGCTGTACTTTACGACCCTGATGGCTGTTGGGTATTATGTGTTGTTTAACCTACTAGTGGTAATACTGGTGGAACGATTCACAAACTCTGGGGTAAGCGTGCATGGCCTGGGTAATTTTCCAGGGTTCATTTAAGTGCAATGCTTTAATTAACCTGTAAATGAAAATATGCCAAGTTATAGCTCACAAAAAGGAACTTCGTAAGAGCAACAATATAGGCTTAAACCTTCATCAGTTGGGGAAAAGGGGTTGGGTTTAGGCAATTCCTTAATTAGTCCTGGCATTTGCATGATAAGGGTATGCTATGCGTAAGTGATTAAAAAACCAAGTCAAGGTAATGATCAATATCGGAATAAAATTTCCCAAGAGAATTTCTGGTTCTTTGTGTGGGTAAGAATCAGCCATATATTCAGAAGTCTCGTACATGTATGATAAGCAGCTTTCATTTTTAAATCAAAATATGTAACTAAAATGCAATTAATTATTTTGTAATTCTGAATAAATCTCCATCTTTGATATATTTTCCATATTCAAAGTCGAAGAAGGAAAAAGACCCAAGCATTGGACAACAACGAAGGGATTGGTCCCTGTACCTTTTTCCAGCCTCTAGAAGGTACGGATGTGTAAAAAATGTTCCATTCTGTAAAGAATGTTGGGAATTGTTCAAAGGGTAACATGCTTAATAATATCTAGATGAAAAACTGTGAAAACTAAAAAAATTCATCGTTAAATACCCTTTTCTAATATTATGCCGAGAAGATGTCATCATCATTATATTATCATCATCTGGAATAGAAACCAGAAGGTCACAGTTTCAACTCCTATTAAGAGTACTTGGATTTTTTCTTTCGTGCCGCCTATGTCACTGACTGAAAAAAAATCTCATCATCATCATCATCATCATCAAGATCATTATCACTTAATAAAGTAGGTCATATATAAAGTGTAACTTGAAAGCTTACGTAAACCTGATACAGCAATACATATCTAACTGATTTTTTGAAAACCAACCTAACAAAATTTGAAGTCATTTGAGTGAAAAGGCGTCAAAAGGCGGGTTCCATGAGCCCGAGAGGCTCCAAAATCACGTTAACGAAGGAAAAGGAAAGGAGAAGAAGAAAGAGCGAGGAGAAGAGAAAAAAAGCAATGGCTGCAAACGGTCCATTTGGCGGTAACCTTTTCAAAAACCCGGCTAGATATTTAACAATATTCAATGACATTGAGAAAAACCCCGGGCCTCCTCTGATTATTAATAATAACCAAGTATCGCATCTCAACGCATTTACGGTTGCCCATCGCTCATCTCAGAGTTTGTTTGTATCTCCTTCGACTTCACACCTTGATCTCCATTTTGTTCGTTATGCTAATTTGCCTCGATGTCTTACTTACTCCAGGAACGATTTGCTCAAAATTCGCTTCAGAGGTGGCGATTTGAAACCGAGCTCTGAATTACTGGCTCGACTAAAGAATGCTTCCTTACTCAGATATCGCGGAAAACGGTCTGGTAAGAAGAGGAATAAATGTCTTCATTCTTCGATTACCGTGTTAACCGGTCGTCGTTGCGTAACACCTTTACGACCTCCTGGTCCGCGAATTCAAACTTTTATCCCTGTTTCATTATCTGTGGATCTTGAAACTCCAATTGGATTGCGAGATCAACGTTCTGTAGCTTTTTCACTTCTCAATGCACGATCTGTTAAGAACAAGCACCTTTTAATCAAAGATTGGGTTGTTGATAACAACATTGATATTCTGGCCTTGACTGAAACCTGTCTTCAACCTGACAATAAAGATGACCACATTATTGGTGATCTTACACCGACTGGTTATTCATTTTATCATTCCCCTAGAGAAACCAGAGGTGGCGGTGTTGGTATTTTAATAAAGGATGGTTTCGACATTTCCAGATCTACTATCTCTACACACCAATTCCAAACGTTTGAGTTCATGGATCAGATGGATATGCAAATTAAAACCTCCTTGTCCAGGAGTGTTTGCATCGTCATTATTTATCGACCTCCTTTGTCGTCAAATCGTGATTGCACCACCGATCATTTTATGGTTGAATTCGGAAGTCTTCTAGAACAATATGTCACGGATTCATCTAGCCTCCTGATTACCGGTGACTTTAATCTTCACGTTGACAATAATCTTGATAAATCTTCACAGGATTTTCTAGCTCTCATTGACTCGTTTAATTTGAAGCAACATGTATGTTCTCCTACTCACCGAGCTGGTCACATATTGGATCTCCTCATAACAACAGATGATGATCGATTAGTTACATCTGTTTCTACTCATGACGCCGCTTTCTCTGACCATTTTGTTGTTAATTGTGCTTTGTCCATGGAGAAACCCATGTTTACAAAGAAACAAATTATGTATCGTAGTTTTAAGAATTTTGATATCGATCTTTTCATCAGTGACACTCGAAGCTCTTCCCTCATCAGTGATCCGCCAAACGAACTTGATGATCTAGTTACACTTTATGATTCTGAGCTATCTGGAATCTTTAACAGACATGTTAGTAGTATAATATGTTGAAAGATAAGCTCCGTTAGTGTCTAGCAAGGTCTAGCAAGGTCTAGTCAATGACGTCACCCATTGTTATAACCTGGGAAAAAGTGGATTCCCTTTATTAATATGTATAAGTGTCTTCCTGCATACTAATTTGGATTTCCTGCATACTAATTAAGTGTCTTCCTCCATATATAATGAAGTGGATAGGTTTACTAATGAGCGTCACTCTACTACAATAGAAACAATAGACTTGCCTAGACTTGCCCGGTAAGTAACTTGAGCTCGGTTTTCAGACCGTCTATTAAAAGGAATAAGAGAAACGATCACCTAGCAACGCGAGAAACGGCTTCCTGTATCTTATTTAGCGCTAAAACTCAGATATACATAAACACAAAGGGAGTTGAAAAGTCTTTATTTCAATTTAGTTTACGTCTTCTTATTTGGCGCTAAAACTCAGATATATATAAACAAAACATACACAAATTGGAGCTGAAAACTCTCTAAGTTTGTCTGACATTTTCTCCTTTCTATCTCGAGGAAATGAAAGTCTTGTCATTTTCACGCACAGTTAATCAGTTAATTATGCGAGTTCGCAAGCCCAAAGTTGAATACAAATTAGCTCTACAGGAAAGACCCAAGGGAGAGAATCTTGACGTATTATTATAAAACAAATAACTTAACAAGGATTAATTAAAACACGCGACTAATAATTGCTAGCAATAAAATCTGACACGAGATACCGTTTAAAACAAAAAGAGTCAAATACACAGCGATTTGAAAGAAATCTATTAAAACAGTCAAAGAAAGCAAGTCATGTTTTACTTACCCCTTTCCCTTTTCAATTTTATTTCCCTCCTCAATCTTTTCTTTTTCTCTTCTCCACAATTTTATTATTTTCCCTCCTCAATGTTTTTATTCCCTCCTCCGCAACTTTTATTATTTTCCCTCCTCAATGTTTTTTATTCCCCTCCTTCACCTCCACCTCCTCATTTATTCTATATATTTTTCCATCCACAAATACATAGACCGCCTAGCGACCCTACATCGACCCTACATCGATCCCACATCGACCCCACATCGACCCTACATCGACCCTACATCGACCCCACATCGACCCCACATCGACCCCACATCGACCCCCATCGATCCTACATCGACCCTACATCGACCCCATCGACCCCCATCGACCCTACACTCAACTTTTTAACACTGCTTCGTAAATAGTGAAGCTATATACCACCACCGCCACATTTCTATTGTTTTCCCTCCACCACCACCACCACCGCCACCACATTTCTATTGTTTTTCTTTCCACCACCACCACCACCACATTTGAATTGTTTTCCCTCCACCACCACCACCACCGCCACAACATTTCTATTGTTTTTCCTCCACCACCACCACCACCACCACCACCACCGCCACCACATTTCTATTGTTTTCCCTCCACCACCACCACCGCCACCACATAATTATTGTTTTCCCTCCTCCTCCTCTTCCTCCTCCTCCAACTCCTCCACATTTCTATTGTTTTCCCTCGAAAGGCCAAAGAGGCCAAAATCAGGCCTAAAAGGCCTAAAGGCCAAACTTGGAGGGAAAACAATAGAAATGTGGAGGAGGACGAGAAGGAGGAGGAAGAGGAGGAGGAGGGAAAACAATAATAATGTGGTGGCGGTGGTGGTGGTGGTGGTGGTGGTGGAGGGAAAACAATAGAAATGTGGTGGCGGTGGTGGTGGTGGTGGTGGTGGTGGTGGTGGAGGAAAAACCATAATAATGTGGTGGTGGTGGTGGTGGTGGAGGGAAAACAATAGAAATGTGGTGGCGTTGGTGGTGGTGGTGGTGGTGGTGGAGGAAAAACAATAGAAATGTGGTGGCGGTGGTGGTGGTGGTGGTGGGAAAACAATTCAAATGTGGTGGTGGTGGTGGTGGAAAGAAAAACAATAGAAATGTGGTGGCGGTGGTGGTGGTGGTGGAGGGAAAACAATTCAAATGTGGTGGTGGTGGTGGTGGAAAGAAAAACAATAGAAATGTGGTGGCGGTGGTGGTGGTGGTGGAGGGAAAACAATAGAAATGTGGCGGTGGTGGTATATAGCTTCACTATTTACGAAGCAGTGTTAAAAAAAGTTGAGTGTAGGGTCGATGTGGGGTCGATGTGGGGTCGATGTAGGGTCGATGTAGGGTCGATGTGGGGTCGATGTGGGATCGATGTAGGGTCGATGTAGGGTCGCTAGGCGGTCGATGTATTTGTGGATGGAAAAATATATAGAATAAATGAGGAGGTGGAGGTGAAGGAGGGGAATAAAAAACATTGAGGAGGGAAAATAATAAAAATTGTGGAGGAGGGAATAAAAACATTGAGGAGGGAAAATAATAAAATTGTGGAGAAGGGAAAAAGAAAAAATTGAGGAGGGAAATAAAATTGAAAAGGGAAAGGGGTAAGTAAAACATGACTTGCTTTCTTTGACTGTTTTAATAGATTTCTTTCAAATCGCTGTGTATTTGACTCTTTTTGTTTTAAACGGTATCTCGTGTCAGATTTTATTGCTAGCAATTATTAGTCGCGTGTTTTAATTAATCCTTGTTAAGTTATTTGTTTTATAATAATACGTCAAGATTCTCTCCCTTGGGTCTTTCCTGTAGAGCTAATTTGTATTCAACTTTGGGCTTGCGAACTCGCATAATTAACTGATTAACCGTGCGTGAAAATGACAAGACTTTCATTTCCTCGAGATAGAAAGGAGAAAACGTCAGACAAACTTAGAGAGTTTTCAGCTCCAATTTGGGTATGTGTTGTTTATATATATCTGAGTTTTAGCGCCAAATAAGAAGACGTAAACTGAATTGAAATAAAGACTTTTCAACTCCACTTTCTGTATGTGTTTTGTTTATGTATATCTGAGTTTTAGCGCTAAAGAAGATATAGGAAGCCGTTTCTCGCGTTGCTAGGTGATCGCTTCTCTTATTCCTTTTAATAGACGGTCAATAGAGTGACGCTCATTAGTAAACCTATCCACTTCATTATATATGGAGGAAGACACTTAATTAGTATGCAGGAAATCCAAATTAGTATGCTGGAAGACATACTATGTTGAAAGATAAGCCCCGTTAGTGTCTAGCAAGGTCTAGCAAGGTCTAGTCAATGACGTCACCCATTGTTATAACCTGGGAAAAAGTGAATTCCCTTTATTAATATGTATAAGTGCCTTCCCTTGCCTTCCGTATGCCTTCCCTTAATTGATATGCATAAGCCTATGACGTCACCTCTGAAAGAAGTGTCTTCCTGCATACTAATTTGGATTAGGTTTACTAATGAGCGTCACTCTACTACAATAGGAACAATAGACTTGCCTAAACTTGCCCGGTAAGTAACTTGAGCTCGGTTTTCAGACCGTCTATTAAAAGGAATAAGAGAAACGATCACCTAGCAACGCGAGAAACGGCTTCCTGTATCTTATTTAGCGCTAAAACTCAGATATACATAAACACAAAGGGAGTTGAAAAGTCTTGTATTTGACTCTTTTTGTTTTAAACGGTATCTCGTGTCAGATTTTATTGCTAGCAATTATTAGTCGCGTGTTTTAATTAATCCTTGTTAAGTTATTTGTTTTATAATAATACGTCAAGATTCTCTCCCTTGGGTCTTTCCTGTAGAGCTAATTTGTATTCAACTTTGGGCTTGCGAACTCGCATAATTAACTGATTAACCGTGCGTGAAAATGAGAAGACTTTCATTTCCTTGAGATAGAAAGGAGAAAACGTCAGACAAACTTAGAGAGTTTTCAGCTCCAATTTGTGTATGTTTTGTTTATATATATCTGAGTTTTAGCGCCAAATAAGAAGACGTAAACTGAATTGAAATAAAGACTTTTCAACTCCACTTTCTGTATGTGTTTTGTTTATGTATATCTGAGTTTTAGCGCTAAAGAAGATATAGGAAGCCGTTTCTCGCGTTGCTAGGTGATCGCTTCTCTTATTCCTTTTAATAGACGGTCAATAGAGTGACGCTCATTAGTAAACCTATCCACTTCATTATATATGGAGGAAGACACTTAATTAGTATGCAGGAAATCCAAATTAGTATGCAGGAAGACACATACATATTAATAAAGGGAATCCACTTTTTCCCAGGTTATAACAATGGGTGACGTCATTGACTTGACCTTGCTAGACCTTGCTAGGCACTAACGGGGCTTATCTTTCAACATAGTATACTACTCATGTTCCCATTAAGAAGCGTACCGTTACCATTCGCCCAGCGGCACCTTGGTCCGCGAAGAAAAGAGGGGAAAAGACGGTTTGAGCGACGGTGGCGTGCTTCCCGTTCTATGCGTGATAGTGAAGCTTACACGCGTCAATGTAAAGTTATTAAGAACTTGCTATCTTCATCAAGAAGTAACTATTATTCAAATCTAGTTGCTGAGAATCAGTCTAACATGAGATCGCTTTTCGCAGTTTTTAGTAAACTACTTCATCGACGTCATGAGGCGAAGTACCCAAAGCATGATTCCTCGTCTTCTTTGGCTAATGATTTTGTACTATTCTTCGGTGACAAGATCAGAAGAATCCGTCGTGACCTTGATCAAGTCCAACCTTTGGATACTGCTTTAGATAACGGTACTACAGGCGGTCAACTGAACATGTTTTCGACTGTTCCACCGGATGAACTCTTGAGTATCATCGGCTCAACTAACCCTAAGTCCAGTGATTTAGATCCTGTTCCTCGTCATGTACTTAAATGTCTGTTTCCTTCTATTCTCCCAGTAATACACAAGATTGTCAACCTTTCCTTGCAAACTGGTCGGATGCCTGGAATACTTAAACAAGCTATACTTAAGCCATTGCTCAAAAAGCCCTCTCTGGATTCGAACGACTTCAAGAACTATAGGCCTTATTGTAATCTTCTTTTCATATCCAAAACTATTGAAAAATGTGTTGCTAAACAGCTGATTCAATACTTAGATATTAATGACCTTGGTGAAACATATCAATCGGCCTATAAGAGAAACCATAGTACAGAGACGGCTCTTATTAGAGTCCACAATGACATAGCCATGGCAATAGATCAACATAATTCAGTTATCCTAGTACTTTTCGATCTTTCGGCTGATTTGATACTGTTGATCATGGTATCCTCCTTTCGCCACTGTCCAATCGCTTTGGAATTACTGGAACTGTATTGGAATGGTTTCGATCATATCTTTCTGATCGTACACAGTTTGTGCAGGTTAATGGTGCGTGCTCTGCTTCTCATGTTCTTGAGTTTGGTGTACTGCAGGGATCCGTTCTTGGCCCGTTGTTATATTCAATGTACACATCCCCTCTTGGCGAGATTGCTCGACGTCATCAAATGTTCTATCACTTTTATGCTGATGACACTCAGCTATATATTACGTTCAGGACGTCGTCTGTTTCTGATATGAATCTGAGTAACGCCAAATTGGTAAACTGTGTTCGGGACATGGACGCATGGATGCTTTCCAACAAGCTGAAATTAAATAAAGACAAGTCCAAAGTTCTCGCAATATCCTCTTCCTATCGACCTCGGCCACCACTATCTTCTGTTGATATATGTAATGAGACTGTATCCTGCTCCCCCAGTGCACGCAATATTGGAGTTATCTTTTATCAGTCCCTTTGTATGGTACCTCATGTCAATGTAGTCTATCAATCGTCCTTTTTTCATCTTCGTAACACTAGTTTCATACGCAAATATCTTACTTATGATGCTGCAAAGATCATTATTCATGCCTTCGTAGTTTCTAAACTTGATTATTGTAATTCTTTACTGTACGGCCTGCCATCCTATCTTATTCGGAAGCTTCAACATGTTCAAAATTCTGCTGCTCGCCTTGTCAACCAGTTTCCAAGATTTTGCATATTACTCCAGTCCTGATGGATCTTCACTAGCTCCCTGTCTCCTTTCGTATTGAACTTAAAATTATGTTAATTACTTACAAAGTACTACATGATCGAGCTCCAATCTATATACAGGAACTCCTTCAATTGTATACACCCAGCCGCAATCTTAGATCCTCTAACAAAAATTTATTAGTTAAACCCTATTTTAATCTCAATTCGTATGGTAAACGAGCTTTTTCTGTTGCTGCTCCGGAACTTTGGAACAACTTACCTGAGGATATTAAATCTGCAAACTCAATTGATGATTTTAAACGCAAACTTAAAACATTTCTTTTTATGCCAGCTTATGAATCGTGACGTTTTTATTTGTTATCTGATTTTTTATCTATTGTGTACATTTATCTATTTTGTAGTTAGCGTCTAGTTTTAATGTCAATTTCTTGCGATTATTTTTACTTTTTACTTCTATCTAATTTTTTGTAAACAGCGCCTTTGAATCTTGTAGAAAAGGCGCTATATAAATGAATTATTATTATTATATTTTATTTATTACAATTTTTCTTTTACCATGGCTTTAAACATTTGATTTGCTACCGTTTCTATTTTTCTGCCAGGTTTCGTAGTTTTCTGGTTGCAGTCTTGTGAACACAAATACTTTGACTACGTGGTTCTGTTGTTTATTCTAACAAGCTGCGTGGTCCTGGCACTAGAAGAGCCGAACATGCATCCAAAGGTAGACCCGGGGGAGATGTATCTCAATTTGCTTTCAGAAGTCGTCTAGTTCACATGTCCCTATAATATAATTCCTGGCTTTTTTTCAAATTATATAGCAAAAATGATCACGTCTCAATCTCTTGTTTGTGTGCATGTGTAAAATCATATCTATGGCAGCAAAATTAGTTGAAAAATGAACTGATGAGGTCGGCTAATTTTGCCTTAAGTTCGCGGCAGACTTTGCTAGTCACTGATAGCTTCAATCGCAAAGCTCAGCGTTTTTGGCTCCTTTTATATTCACAGAAACGCCAAATAATTGACATCGCGATGGTTGTGCTGACCGGAATTTTCAGTGTTGAAATGACTATGAAGGTAAATCGTTCTTACTAAATGAAATGCTTTGATTTCGCTATTGGTAATAAACTGCTGTGTTCGACCTCCACTATGGTATACTGAAACTAAAACCATGCACAATATTTTAAGCAGAGGATGATTCAGTAAGAACTTAGAGCACTGAAAGGTTTCATCTTTCTCAAGGTAGCTCAAGGTCCATATAACTTACTCAACAACCTACATTAATGCATGTATGCCTCTCTTATTTTTTCAGTTTAATATTTATTGTGCACGATTTCATGCACCAGGCTCGAGCGCTTGCGGCTACAAAACATCCAATCCCATTGTTTCTTTAATTCTTCTTTCGACGCCTTTATATACGCCAATTACCCATTTTTATTATATAGACACGAGTTTTTTACTGGAAAATATGCCACTCGTAAAATTCATAAAAACTACATCCGGGACGCGAGTGGTTTATTTCCATAATTTCACACGTGAGTTTATCGATGACGTAATTTCGGTAATTTCCCTCCAAAATTTGTAGGCGTCTTGCGTCCTTTGAATTTTGATTACACATTTTTCAAAGCTTTGCTTATATTTTGTCAATGTAGAGCCCTATTCAGCTCAGTGTTATTTCTCAAGATTATTGTAAACAATGTCTTATATCGCTGTACTGTAAATTTGAGACGTCACAATTACTTTTTGGCGAATAAAAATCTATTATTTTATCGATGTCTTTTTGTCTATATAATAAAAAGAACATTACACGGCGTCTTGAAGATATGAATTTTATTTTCTCGTGGCAAAAACAATATTTTACTCACTCGCTGCGCTCGTTCGTAAAATATTGTTTTGCCACTCGAAAATAAAATTCATATCTTCGCGCCACCGTGTAATATCCTCTATATATCAATAGCATATATTTTGGATAACCTTAAGTGGCCAAAATATGCGCCATGAATAAGTCTAAAAACTTTTTTATAGTTGACTTTTTGAGCTTTGAAAGAAGTATAAAGTGCTTATATGAATAAATTAACGTCACGAATGACGCTTTCAGTATTGCCACTCGCAATCACAAAATGAAGAAGACGAAGCGTCCTTCCTCTACTTGATTTGTACTAGATGAAATGATCGCCTGCGTACAAGTCTGAAAACATATCTTTACAAGCCGAGCACCTTATTAATTCCATTGAAAAATGAGTTGTAAAGATAGGAAAACAGGGAACCTGTAGAGCGCTCCGTACAGTGATGGTAGAGATTACCTCTCACAAGTGATCATGACTGTCCATTACAGATTGTCGCTCATGGTCTTGTTATTGGTCCTGGATCTTACTTGAAGGACGGATGGAATGTTCTGGATGGGAGCCTTGTGTTGGTCTCCTGGATTGACGTCATCATTACCTACAGCACTGCCTCTGCGCCGGAAGTGCTTGGAGCCTTGAAAGTCTTCCGAGCATTGAGAACCCTTAGACCGTTGAGGTAGGTCTGCCAACCGACTCTTTTGTTTAGATAAAGCGTCAATCAATCAATCAATCAATCCGCGGCAGGATTAGCTCAGTCGGCAGAGCACGTGACTTCAGAGCCGGAGGTCGCGGACCATTACTCAGGGTCTTAAAATAACTGAGAAATGAAGGTACTTCCTTTGCCATTCAAGCTGCTAAACCTTCGCTTAGCTCGAATGATCACGTAAAATGGCGGTCCCGTCTGCGGTAGGAGACGTAAAAAATAGTGTCCCTAATTAGTACTTTCGTGCTAAATACATTGACACTCAATAAAGCGCGTCAATCAATCAATCAATCAATCAGTCAATCAACAACCAATAAGTCAGTCAGTCAGTCAGTCAGTTAATCAATCAATAAGAACTTTATTAACGTGTCAAACGCCTAGCACACCATGAGTGGTGCACTAATCGGAGACACTTAGACTAAAACGCGTAAACCAAGTTTGATTTGGAAAAATGCTAGTCTATCATGACGTCGTGTCAGATTTTTATGGATTTAAATCAACTTCTTGGCCCTCGTTTAAAGTTAGTTTTGAATAAAATTAGTCGGTGTGACAACTCCCTTGCAGCCATTAACATAATCTTTATCAATGTAGGATGATTCGTCGTGCCCAAGGTTTAAAGTTGGTCGTTCAGACTTTGTTGTACTCGCTGAAGCCGATTGGAAACACTGTTCTGATAGCAGCTATTTTCTTCGTTATGTTTGCAATACTTGGAGTACAGGTAACTTCTTTCTTCTTTTAATTTCCCCTACTTGTTGATACCGGATTAAACTCTAATTTAACGTTTAGGGGGCATTTTCTACAAAGTTCAGCAGTAATTTACTGCAACCATTTTTCACAGAAAAGCACACCATGTTTCTTCTTGTAGCCTTTAAATCTATGTGCAATAGGATTACAGTCGAACCTCCAATGACGGTCACCTCTCTACAACTTCTTTTTATCCAGGGGGACAGTCCATACATTGAATGTTGTTTAAATCTCTTTACAACGGCATAAAGCTATGTGGACGATCTTTTTTTCTATATTGAAACTATTTATTTGTATACATTGTTGTCATACCATTTATACATTTTTCTTAGCCTTAAACCCTCTTAAAACAGTTTAGAATTAATGAAAAAGACCTCTCTATGACGAACATTATTGAGCACTTTAGTGACTTTTTTTGAGGAATAACTAGCATTTTAGTGAGAAAAATGGAGCCTTAAAGTGGAGCATTTTAGTGGAAAAACAACAGCACAATGTACAAAGGCCTAGACGGAGAGCATATTCTGCCTTGTTGCAGTCATACAGATACTTATGCGCTTAAATGTTTGGGACAGGGACAGGGCACCGAATTTCGTATGTGCTTACAGCGATATTCTTAAAGATTTCAGACAAAATACCCTTTCACTGCCTCCCTAAACTAATTCGTGAGATAAATATATTCGAGAATAATAAACTTTGACAGCTGTCTAGGTATGATGGTCCTATTGCTATGCTACCGAGTGTCAGTAACGTACCGTTACTTCATAATACCAAACAAAGCCTATCTTGAGTTCGCGATCTTTTACGCCCCATGAGGATAGAACAGTGTTAGCCAAATCAGAATATACTGAGGATAATTTGCCTTTTATTGACATTAAATTGTAACTGGTTCAACCTTTCAGATTTTCAAGGGCACCTTTCATTTTTGTGAAGGAAACAGCCGCGTTAAAGACAAGAAAGAATGTTTGAAGAGTAGTAACGGTCACTGGGAAAATCATATGTACAATTTTGACAACTTACCTCAGGTAAATCAGAATTCTTTAGGTTTGATATAATTGTTTAATTTGAACGAAATTTTGATCAGCGGTATAGCGTTCCTAATATCTTTAAAGGGTGGTCTATGCTGTGGTATTTCTTTAAGTTAACTATCTGTACCGGGTATATGCACATTTTGTATACCTGTCTTTGGGTTCGACCTGTTCATGTACTTTGCAGTAGGAATGATCATGCCATTCCTCTTTTTATTGATGCGAATATCCTGCCAATTTTCCTTCTCTATTTTAAGTCCGTATCTTACCTAATGCATGATATTCATATTAATGCTTCGCCCTCACAAATCGTGAATTTCGTCCAGAAGACATCATCTATTCATGCTTAAAACACAAGATCTTCCTTCAAAAATAATATGTACATAAAAAAAAAAAATCTTGAAAAACCTAGACAAGCCGTCCTGATATTTGGCGCTAATTATAAATTATGGAATGAGATACCAGGTAGAATGAAAGATGTGTTTAAAAGAAAATTAATCTATGATTAACCACGACAGACTGGATTACCTTGATGCAACTATTATAACGCGAGAAATAAAATCGCGAAATCCTAAACCTTAGCTTTTCCACAACTTGCATTAAACAGATCTGTCTTTCTTGATTTTGACTTTATTACACATATCCTTTCTTTTCTTTTCTCCTTCCATTTTAATTATTCAGATTAATTATTATCAGTGAAATCGGTTTCCAATGGCGCATTAATTTGGCACGCTACGACTAGCGTTTTGGCTAACTGCGTGCCAAGAAATCGTATAAGGAACGCTTAGGTAACAAATGTCGACTGTAACGTAACTATACAAATAACTTAATTAAAAATAAGATCGATACCTGTTCTGATGTAGAACACATGTATAATAAGTCGTACTGAAGTTGCCTTCCATATCGATAAGAGTTTTCTAGGTCAGCAACTGACTTCGGGAATAAAGGATATAGAAATATAATTTGCAAATTCAATTAGAAATTTATCATATTTTTTCACTATCATTCCCAGGCTCTTATTTCATTATTTGTGTTCTCCACTCGAGACGGATGGGTGGAAATTATGCACAATGGAATTGATGCTGTGGGAGTCGATCAACAGGTTGGTGTCTTTCCTTGTAGTTTTTAAACGAAAATGTCGAACGGAGATTTTTTTTTCTAAGTTGTCAAGATATATCATGTTTTCCTGTTGCTTAAGACTGAGACATTAAAGGCATTCTCGTTATAGCTCAGGAGTTGATTCAGTTCAGCATTAAGAGCACCTTCACTAGCAGCTTTTGCACTCTCGAAATTGAGCATTAACTTTTTACTTCAATCTTTTCTTTGATAGCCTGTAAAGAACTACGCTGAATGGCGACTTGCGTATTTCATTCCTTTTCTTATGCTGGGTGGCTTCCTTGTGCTAAATATGATCGTGGGTGTGGTAGTAGAAAATTTTCAACGCTGTCGAGAAAGACTCGAGGACGAAGAAAAGCAGAGAAGACGAAGAAAGATGATGGACAAAGCAAGAAGCAAGAATCAACAAGGTGGATATTACGTACCTTCCTTTTGCGCTTGTAGTGCTGCACCTATAATTTCATAATTATGCTATTTGGTCTGTCTGTAAGTCAGATTTATTTCATCTGCCAGAAGGCGAGTCTACAGAAGCTTAGTATGTATGCACGTTGCACCATATCGCAAGATAAAACCTAGGAGGGTTTTTTGTAACACTGTGTACAAACATTCTTTCTCTTTTTCTAATAATGCCTGATTTCATCAGCATAGTATATTTATTTACACTCACCAGAAAGTCAAATTATAATTGCCTTAAGGACAGCAAGCAACTACTTAACGAACCCGCAATCGAAAAAAAGGAAAAGAAAAACAACAATGACAACAAAAAAAAAACAAAAGAAATTAAAGAACTCTTATTAATTACATCTTCATGTTTTTCTTCCAGAGGTGGACCGAACGTATTACCAATCGTATAGCAAATGGCGGCGGCGTGTTCATGACATGTGCCTTCACATGTCTTGGGACGTCGTTATTGCCATGGTGATTTGCCTGAAAGTAATCTGCATGTCTTTGGAGCATTATCAGATGTCACAGGTAATGAGGAGGAATACAAAATTGAGGCTAAAACTTCATTCCTGAGTCCATTACGATTCATGTTTTAGTTTCGGCGCGTGTGATAAATGTTAGCTAATGTTTTTTTAATCAATAGGGGTTTTAGGAAACTTGGTAGCCGATTTGATTCATGCTACTATTTTTCCCCTTTACTTAATACTCGCCCAAACTTTTTCACTTCGTTATCAGCTTTTTTAGCTTGTTTTTTTTTGGCACGCTTCATTCCCCATAAACCTCCAACAATATGAGGTTGAACTTTTCAATACGTAATGTAGGAAGGAAGTGGCACGAAATTGGTCCTGGAATTCAAATGAACAATAGACGTATTTGATTAACTTTTGCAGACTTTTGTTTTATTCGTCGACACTTCAAATTACCTTTTCACCGGCATTTTTGTGCCAGAGGTGGTGCTCAAGTTCATTGCCTTTGGATTCGTTCTTTATTTCAAAGACGGGTAAGTCGTGGGTTGCGCCAACTTTGGTAGACATTTCCGCGTTTGATTAAGACCAGTAAGTGAATATCTATCAACGCTGCTGGAAAAAACGCCTTAAAGTAAGGAAACTTACCAAGTTTAAAGTTGATACGTCCAAAGCAAGCAGACATTTGACTGTTTGGTGGGGGGTTAAGTTAGTGCCCCCATCATAAAAACGTCTGTGAATTTCACGACTTTGTGGAACCATGTGTTCGTTAGGTTTCAAAAAATCACTTTCAAAAGTGACTGTTCCAGTCAAGTGCCTATTAACTTCAGAACAACTGAGGCTGTTTATATATATCCCATGGAAGGTCGTGGGCTCAATTCCCATCTTGAACTCAGAATATTTTTCTGAGTTTTTCTGTCCACATAATCATTCTGTTTGCCAGAATTTGAATTTTGGATTTGTTTGCCCATAAATTTCACATCAGCAAAAACAACAATATTTATAAGGGAAGAACAAAAGCCTGAACGAATGAGCGCAATGATGTTCGCCCTGCAATGCTAATGACCCATCGCAAGATTCTATTCTTTTTCTGTGATAGAGAGCATACATTAGGAGAAAAAACCGGAATGCACTGAATTAATGTGAGATAAATGCTTGTCTTTTGATTGAAAATGAAACGAAGACTGATAATGTGATTCTTGTAGTTAGATATGTCCCCCGGCCGCGAGCGAACAACTTCCTTGTTTCCAGTGGTCATTTCAACAAATGATTGTCTGAAGCAGTAGCTTTATTTACAACTTTATCATCAGATTCAATAAAAGTAAATTGCACGATCGTGTTGTAACAGAAGGCCAAAAGTACTGCGAACTCACACAATATTGTATGAACTTATTTGTAGGTGGAATCTGGTTGATCTAGTGATCGTCATTCTCTCTTTGGCTGGAATAATCATCGAGTCACTAAGCTCTTCTAATAAACTCTTGATAAATCCAACTGTTGCAAGATCATTGAGAGTATTACGTATTATCAGAGGTTTGTAGATAAAGGTTATAACTCAGTATATAGTATCAGTAGTGTCCGTCAGGAAGGAATTAGTCTGTGAACAGGCTATCTAGTAGGGTAAAGGAGGAGAGGGGAGGGGAGGGAAAGAGATCGAGAAAGCGCAAAAAAAGCGGGGGGGGGAAGAAGGGGTGAAGCGCGTAGACAAAGACCTTAAGCTCTGTCGTAATAGACGGCGTAATCTAAATTTCTACTGAAACAGTTTGCTACCACAGATTTTCGCATCCAGGGACTACGTGGGCAAATTTCCATCAAAAATTAAGGTTTTTAGAAAACACTGGTTAAGCTATTAATGATCTTGCGTATTGAACTTGTGGTGTATGTTATCAATTATGATAACCACTTTTATTTGGTTAACACTCAGTAACTCATCCCGGGGGGGGGGTACTCCCTTATTTAGGCTATATGGGTATGTGCGGCGCCAACGGGTATGCTTTTCAGCCGTTTTTTCTGAAATGGGGTACCAGTTTTGACCATTTTGGTCTTAAATAGGGTATGGTTTGTGCACTCTATTCTTGAATTGGGTATATTTTTTAGAGGAATCTACTTCTTCATCATTAGGCGATAAATCCCTAAGGAGACCTATCATTTCAAGTCTGAAATAGGGTAGGGAAAATCACAGATTTTGGTCTGAAATAGACAATTTTTCTGGAAGTACCCAAACCCCCCCCCACCCCCCGGGTGACTCGTTAACGCAATTTACTGACATAATGTCGATCCAAAATGGTTTAAAAATATTTACAGGAACAACACTCTTTTCATCGCCTACTGAAATCTCTGTACATGATTTCTTTTAGTGTTGAAGCTCGTGAAGTTAGCTAAAGGGGTTCGTTCACTTTTGGACACTCTCTTTGAAGCTCTTCCGCAGGTTTGTTTTTCACTGACTGCTAATTTGTTTCAAGTTAAAACTATTATTATTTTTGTAATTTATTTTTTTTAAAAAAAATCGCAATTACACAGAGCATTCCAGAATTTCTTGTCTTACTAAACAGATATTTTTGCTTTTTTTTTTATAAATTCAGGTTGCAAACCTTGGACTGCTATTCTTACTTTTGTTTTTTATCTACTCCTGCCTGGGTATTCAGTTATTTGGCACTGTTGGTAAGTTCTCGTGATGTAGTAGCCAGAAAATATTAAGCATACCCATACCAGCTAATTAAAGGGCAAGGGACTTAATCAAGAGACACTCTTGATATGGTTTATCAGAAATATGAATTTCCTTAAGAACGATCACAGGCCCTTAAAGTTATGTTGCTCTATTTATTCTATTAGTTCATTGAGAGACGCGCATAGGGAAGTCCGAGAATACATACTGTGATTATTACCACAATAAAGTAAAGCTCTGTTGCTTTTATAGAATGATCGCCATTTTCAAATTGAATTCGATAGGTATGTATGTGTGTATGTAAGTTAACTGCCTAATCTGGTCATTTGTCTCAGAGTGTTCTCCGTCGCAGCCCTGCCAGGGCCTTGGTCCGCATGCGCATTTCAGAGATTTTGGCACGGCTATGCTGACATTATTTAGAATAGCAACAGGGGACAACTGGAATGGTATACTAGAGGTTAGTAAAATATAAAAAGAACATAGAAATACTGTGGGACCGTCATCTGGACAATCTTTTAAAATAATAGTAATCCTCCCATACTTACAATTATGTTACGGCTTAAGTTAACTTGTCAAACGCCTTCCATGGGGCCTTTTTCAGCGCTTACATACCTATATGCAGAAACGAAAACCGAAACAAATTCGTATCAGTAAGGAAAATGAATTACATTTTTGCTTTTTCCTTTATATAAACATAATATGAGCAGTTTGATTGGACTTGGTTGATTAAATGTAATGTAACAAATTAACAGTCATCCTGAAATTATGGTTTGCTCAATTGGTTAGAGCAGTAGGTCCGGGCTTGATTGCCGGCCAGACGAACACATAGGGTCTTGAATAATTAACCGAAAAGGAATCGTTACTTTTGCTGTGACATCTGCCAATGGTAATACCTTCACATCCTGGCCTCTCGAATTAACGTTGAAAAACCCTTGCCACAACACTTTCTTTGACGTCACATCTCGTTAAACGAAAAGGAACTGTTAGGGACATAACAATTCCTGGCATGGTGCACGTGACCATCCCTTTCATGGGTTGTGGGGATGGGTGGGCAAGGCACATCGCAGGAGAGCTATGGGTCCTATTCGTGTTCATTGCAATTAAGCAGGTGTGTCCCCAGTAAAGCTGGGGAATGAATACAGTAAAAACCTACGTGTAAGAACCTACATCTTCGTAAGTGCGGCAAATAAGGTTGTTATATTTTGGGGCAATGTTTGGCAATTTAGGCTAAGTAGGTTTTTAATTTCTATAAAGGTGACTAGGTTGTTGACTACCAGAAAAATAAAGAAACTTGACTTTGGTCTTTATATATATACAGTATTTATTCACAACTTTACCTTGCAAACCTCCTTTATTCAAGGTCCATGAAGCCAATTATAGTACTTCATGTAAACCTGTTTTTGTTGTTGGAATTTCAGTAATACTTTCTTTTGTACTTACCGTTTGGTAGAGTATTTTCTTGTAATATCAATTTAGAATCTCGAAGCCAAACTTCTGGTTAAAATGTTTATCATAATTCAACTCTAACCCGCATATAAGAACCTGTCTGATTTTGCTTGGCTAAACAGGTTCTTATATATTTTTGGTATTAAAGTGACAAATTTCTGCCAACAGGTTCTTAAAGCACTAGATTCTTACACGGGTTTTTTGCTGCAATAATTTTTAAAATAAATAATTGTCAACAATGCCGGAGTAGCTCATGTTTAATAGTATCATTTACTTTTCTTCCCAGGACACACTGCGCTCCAAATGCTCTTCTGAAGCTGAATATGATAAATACTGTTGCATGAGCAAATATACAGCACCTCTGTTCTTCGTTACGTTCGTACTGGCGGCTCAGTTTGTGTTAGTCAATGTTGTCATTGCTGTACTTATGAAGCACTTGAAAGAATCTAAAGAAAAAATTGCAGCAAACATGGCTGCCAAAGACTTGGAGAAGAAACTCAAGTTATTGACTTTATCGGCAAAGAATTTCATCAAAGGAAAAGCAAAGAAAAATGACTTGCCCTCAATTTCAAGACGACGTTCCATAGTGCAGCTGGGTTTAGGTGGAATAGAACTTGCTCAGTTGAAATATTGTGAGCCGGAAAATACAATAGACAAATCGTTTATGACAGAATTTTCTAGAGCTGATGCAATTTTCCAAGAATATATGCGTTTAAATGCTAATCTTCAAAAGGCTAAGATGAAGATCGTCCGTACCTCCTCGCACAATACTGTCGAAGTAAACACGCCGTCTACTGAGACGCACTCTGTGCGACAAAGGCGTAATAGCGTGGGTGGAGTAAGGGAACTTCATAAGATCTCTACTCATTTAAGTTCATTTACTGTATATAAGTCAGGCGCCAAACTGTGAATCACACATGGATTTTCAAAAGGAGAACATTCAGGAGATGTTTAATCCCTTATTCCTATATTCCTCATTTGCCCTTTTTTGTGTTTCCTGGTGTTAATCAAACAAAAAAAAGGATTGAAGTGGCCTCTAGTTAATGTTATGGTTGAACTGTTATTGATTAAATGTGGTCCTTGGGTTTAGACCTGCGCCCAGAGAAAATGCCAAGCTAAGTAGTCCTTAGTATTTCATAACTTATTAACCCATAGAACTTACCTCGGCAACTGTCATGGGTAATTATCATTTGTTCTTTTGTGAATCCATAGAAATTTTCGCAAAGCAATTTCACCTTGGGGAAATCGGTCACACACAAAACGTTGCCTCACCGTGGGCAACAGCCATTTGCCCATGGGTAAAACGGCCACTGCAACCCCACCTATTAATAAGAACCCAAAGTGGCTCAGTCAATCACAAGATTAGAAAGTGAAATCTACGTAACATTAGAAATCGCTTGTCGCTTGCTTTCGTGCTGTGTGGAAAATATTTTTAATATGTTAAATAGAATAGAATCAAAAGCTCCTTTTAGACACTCGGAAGATTTCTTCACATCAGTAGCGTCAAGAGTTTTTTCATCAAGGATTCGCTGGTACCAATTTTGTGGACCCGCTTTGTCTTGCGGGCTACCAAATTTTCCTTCTTTAAGCGTAAATGAAGTCGACGTCGTTGTTGTAGTCTTAAAATTAAGCGGTGAATCGGTATTGCTAAGCGGAATGGATATGGAGGTAATTAAGAGGGGTCAAAACGGTCGAAAACGTTTTACTATTTGGGTCACTCTTCATAATGTTCACAAGGACGTTTAGCGCGTTTATCGGTGGGTAAGCGCAAACATGAAAGTAATCTAAACCCAGAGCGAGGCCAAACCAAGCTATTTCCCCAAGGGAAGCTTTGGGGAGAAGGTCTAGTGTAAACGCACCCAATGTTTCCTTTTTTCTTTTTTTAATCTTCTCTTCCTTTTGGCCTTCCAGGATGTATTAAGAGTAATTTCCTCAATCGCTTTTCCAGGCCTTTTTTAACAGGGATCTGCGAGTTTTCCTTTAGCTCCAAAGAGAAGAACATTTTAATCAGCTTTACAGTAAATTAAGCTTCAGGAACTGACTCTTTGCTGCTTTTAAAGACATTCGATTATTTAAGGACTTCAACTTAAACTGGCTGAGAAAAGTGAATTTAACAAAATTTTTTATTAATATATCACAGTTGTGTGTTTGTTCAAGAATATATCTTCATTTATATACAGAGCAATGTAACTCGACAATGACCTCAGGCTAGGTTTACCCTAGAGCATCCTGCGTTACTTGAGATCAGGCATTCTCTCTTACAGCTGTACGCGGTTTCGCTAAAATTTTCGTTTCGCAGGAATTTTATTCTCCAAGGAAAACGACAATAGGTCCTTATGTATCGGTCAAATCGAAGCTTCAACATGCCCCCCCCCCCCCTTCCGGCATACCCCGGGCATTTCACACCTTTGCCGTCCCGGGGAGGAGGGAATTTGATTATCAGAGTCTTCCAGGGGGTGGGGAATTTGATCCCCATGCTTTAGGGGTGGGGAATTTGAACTGCACCTTCGATTTCATGTAAAATCTTTGGCGTGGCGAGCTATCATGGGGGACGCTGTGTTAGAATATTTTCGTGGAAAAGATTGGCCTTTGTGGCCAATTGGTTGCGAGGAAAGGGCTTAAACAAGCTTTGTGCCGTATTTGAAGTATTTAAATTTTAAAATTTGTAATATTGGATTCAGGCTTTGAATGTATGAATGTATTTTATTGTTGTGTTTACAATGAAAGACAATACCTATATCGGCGATTCAATACAACAACATAAAATAAAATAAGATAAAAAGCTCAGGTCAACTACTTTGGCTCCTGCCTACTGCAAGTATGTTAATTAATAAGGTGAACGATGATGCATGTCTGTGAAATGGTCATGATGTAGTAATCTCAATAGGTGGGATCTTTTTTATAGAACGCTTTGTATGTTGCATGAGGAAGAAAAGCTGAGCATTCAGTGACCTTGTAGCAGCGATTTCCGCCGCTTTGCACGAGAATTTTGTTCGTAGGAAATACGCTAACAGTGTCTCTCAGTTTTTGTTAAATTTATAAAGACTTTGTTGAACAACTGAAGGTGTTTCCGCCGTCCTTCTGTCATTTTTGTGCCTGTGAAATGTCCCCGGGGTGGGGCCATTTGATCACCTGAATGGACCCTAGTGTGGGGCATTTGAACGGCATTTTGGCCTGGGTAGGGGGGAATTTGAACAATAATTTTCAAAAAAGTCAAATTCCTGGGGGGTTGCCCGGGGGGCTATGTTGAAGCTTCGATTTGACCGATACATTAGCTGAGGCTAACAAAAGAGGAGATTTTTCCGGATTTATAAATGTTTCTAAAGTATGTTAATTACACTTAATTAGTGTCGGATTCGCTCTAGTTACACGTACACAACTGTAAATCCGAGAACAATCACCCGGATACAAAGTTCTTAAAATTAGCAATTAATGAATTCGGCTTTCATAGGATATGAAGAATTAAGCAGATCTCGGAGGGAAATATTTTGAATGACTAACAATGATTTTTAATAGATGCAAAATCTCTAAGCGTGTAATCAAACTGTAACGTTTTCATTTTCGATTTGCGCCAAAAAATGCGCTTGCAAATTCGTCCCGAATATGGAAAACTCTCCTCTAGTGCACTTTCTCCAAAAAGATAAAGATTAACCAGGTAAGGAAAGTCACTAGTCAGCCCCACCCCGTACTTGGAATTATGATAACACCTTCTTATCTGCAAAACCATATGGTTCGAAGCCAAGAGCTAAACACCTCCAGACTTTTCTCTCACACTCGTCTTATTCAAGTTCCCGGATGTACAGACACACGGTCGGCAGACCAGCAAATATCCTGTTGCCCAGGTCAAAGTTCACCTGCAATTTTGCTCTCACCTAATAAATTCCAATTCGACTCCTAGAAGCCTGTCCCCGAGGCCAGAGATTTAGTAGTAACCTTAGAAAAGCGAACAATATCGTACCTTTGTGTCTCGGCCCGGATCAGGGTAATTGATCCGTTTAAGCAAAATACAACGTGACATTGGAAGATGCAGACTCTGCGAATCGTATTAAGACTAAATGTCCCATCTCGACACTAAGCGGCACCGAAAACAGCGTTAAGCGCGCACTGATCTCAAATAACTGTCACTTGTGTTAGACAGAGAATTCTGGGTAGGGACGGAAAAACACCCTCTAGGGAGGGAGAGAGAGGGAGAGAGGGGGGGGGGGAAGGGGTTAGAAAGAAGTTCCCTCTACAGTCACTTCTGTACAAATCCCTAACCACAAAAAAACCAAACAAAAAAAGACATAAGCAAACAGCACAGTAAACAAGTTAAGAAAGGGGAAATTGAGAGAAGTTACAAAATGTTTGCTAACTCAGTTTTCAGAAATTCAGGTAGATATAATTCTTAATCTTATATCACTGGATTCTTATTTTAAAAATTTCTGTTAATTTCTGTACATATTTTCAAAGTTAAATAAAAATCATTATTGCTACTATTATTATTATTATTATTATTATTATTATTATTATTATTATTATTATTATCATAACTATAACAAAATTCTCAAATCTGATTGGCTATCAACTGCCCCGATTTCATCCTTACTAGGACAGTGCGCGTCACGCCTAAGTAATTGGAAAGTACACGCCGCCACGCGCGCGCTTAAGTGGCTTTTTTTCACTGCTGGCAAAAAAGAAGGTCTTACAATTTCTTGTGCTTTGATTTAAAAAAAGAGCCTATATATCACAAATTTTCAGATTAAAGTTATGATTAATCGGTAACAGAACTTTGTGTCGTCTGTAATCATACTCGTGATTAAACTCGTCGGCATGATTACAGACCGAATTGGACTCCACTCAGTGGTGACAAATTATCTGGTTCATAAATTAATCGCAAGATCAGGCTACCCCGAACACCTGCAAGAACTTCTATTTTTTTCGAAAAAGTGGAAGAATAATTTTAAATTGTTAACACGAACCTCAAAAAACCTCTCTGTTTAAATTTAACGAAAATAAAAGGGAAACGCTAAGCCATCCATTGAACTACATAATTACATTAGTTAATAAATGGTTATGTTCGGTCCTAATGAAAGCCGAGTCTAAGAAATGGCGTCCATGCTGATTAAGTTTTATTAAACTGACCCTTTTTCTGACAGCTGCCTAAACTGTTTCTCACTGAGGAATTAAAAGATCTTTTTGGCATTAAAGATTTCCATATGTTGCGTCTTGTGCTCTTATTTCGATGTAAATGATATTTTTTTCCAATAAGGCAGAACTAGTCCTTCTCTTTTTTAAATAGATAAACAGAATACTTAGAAGGCATCCTTTTGATAATAATGACCTATATTATTTCGTCGTTCTCTAATAAAAAGCGAAGTCCAAGAAATTCGGCTTCCATGAATTAACTCTAATTAAAACCCTTTCTCACCTGCCTAAGCGGTGTGACGGTGTTAGGTTATTAAAGGCATACATTATGTTCTCATCAAACATTAAAACCTTTTTGGCATTAATGTTTTTCATATACCGTGTCCTTTGCCTTATTTCTGATTCATTTTTTCAATAAAGGAGAATCCAGTGCGTTCTGCTATAGAAATAGATTTTAACTGGAAAAAAGGGAGGACTTGATTAGTTTAACTGGTTGTACTAGCAGTAGAAATTTACCAACAAAGGATGACGTGCTTTGTATCCGATTTGACTCTGAGAGGCTATTAAAAATCGTTCGGTATTGTTTTCTGGCCGGATTCTAGTATAATTCGAAGATAATTGAAGATACCTAAGCACTCAGTTCAGTTTTGACCCGAATATGCGATACTCACTATCATATTGCGCCTTAAGTTCAATCAGGAGTAGAATATGGATAGATGTACCCAAGAAAAGATTTTTCATCCCTTTCTCTACCTTTATGTCGTTACTGTTTTATGGGACAGGCTT